AAAAAAAAAAAAAAAAAAAAAAAAAAAAAAAAAAACCGGGGGGGGGGGGAGAAGATATAACAACTATACTTTTTTGAAGTTGTTACAACAAGCAAACGGAAAGCACATTCTTGGGTGGGAGGGGAGAGAGGGAGGAGGGAGGGAGGTGTCGGTGATGGGTCATAATAATCAAATACATTGTATACTGACAAAATAAAAATTTAACGAAAAAATAATAATTAGCTCTCAGTTATCTCTGACACTGAAGAGGAACAGAGCTATAGAAAATCCAAAACATAATATTTTTGGATGTTAAAATGTAGCATACATGGTCTTCCACCTTTTTGAATAAAAGGATGATAAGAAAAGGTGGAATAAGAGATTTTAATTTCTGACATGAAAATAGTTTACACCAAGAAAAAAATGAATTTTTATAAACACGTTTTTCTTTTTTTCCCTTTGTTAATAGTGTCATTTGAGATTTGACAAAGATGTTTTTAACAGCGTTATTTATAAAAGTAAAAAATTGGAAACAAATAAAATATCCAACATTTGGGAGATGGTTAGTTATGTCAAATTGAATACTGCATAGTTATTAGAAAGCTCTTGTATTGATACATGAAAATGCAGTAAAAAAGTAGTAGAACGCAAAATAATTATAATTAAGTAAAATGTAATGAACACTGGCAAAGTATACAAGTGAGGGGCCGGCCCGGTGGCACACTGGAGAGTGCGCCGCTCCCGCCGAGGGTTCGGATCCCATGTGGAGACCGGTTCCCGCTCACTGGCTGAGCGCGGTGCGGGTGCAACACCGAGGGCTGCGATCCCGTTACTGGTCAGTAAAAAAAAAAAAAAAAAAAAAAAAAAAAAAAAAAAAAAAGAAAAAAAAAAAAAGTATACAAGTGAGTTGGAAGGGTATTGATAAGATTCTTCTAAGGGGACTTGCTTAACAAAAGAAAATAAATATATTAATGACTTAAAATTTACATTTCCCTAGATTATAACTTATAGAAACAGGACATAATCATGAAGCAAAGTAGGAAGCATGGGAAGTCAGTCTGGGATTAAACATTTACTTAATTTACTTAGTGCTTACCTGCAGGGGGAAACCCAAAAATAACTTTTTTATTTTTATTAAACTACTTTATAATAAATGATGCATGCATGATACAAAATAAAAGGTACAAAATATATACAGTGAAAAATTATGTCTCTCTTCCACTCATGTCCCCTTGCCATCAAGTTCCTCTCCCAAAGGTAACCACTGTTACTAGTTTCTAGTATACCCTTTCAGAGATAGTCTATGTAATGTCTGTTTTACACACATGGTAGCACAGCATAAACACTCTTCTGTACCTTTTTTCAAATTAACAGTATCTCTTGGAGATTGTTCTCTATCAGTGCATAGAGAGCTACCACATACTTTTTAAGGACCAGCATAATACTTTTTACTGATTGGTTATATCATTTATTTAACCAGTAATTGTACTTTAAATGGATTGGCCTCAGGATCCATTTTTTTTTTTTTTTGTCTTTTGTCTTTTTCCGTGTCCGGCAACGGATCGCAACCCTCAGTGATGCCCCCGTACTGGACCGGGGACCGGCAATGGGATTGCAACCCTCGGTGTTGCTCCCGCGCCTCGCTCAGCCAGTGAGCGGGAACCGGTCTGTATGTGGGATCCGAACCCTCGGGCGGGAGCACCGCCGCGCTTCCCAAGCGGCGCACTTATCCAGTGTGCCACCGGGCCAGCCCATCTCAGGATCCATTTTTTTTTTTTTTTTGTCTTTTGTCTTTTTCCGTGTCCGGCAACGGATCGCAACCCTCAGTGATGCCCCCGTACTGGACCGGGGACCGGCAATGGGATTGCAACCCTCGGTGTTGCTCCCGCGCCTCGCTCAGCCAGTGAGCGGGAACCGGTCTGTATGTGGGATCCGAACCCTCGGGCGGGAGCACCGCCGCGCTTCCCAAGCGGCGCACTTATCCAGTGTGCCACCGGGCCAGCCCATCTCAGGATCCATTTTGATTAAAACCTATAGGAGTGGGTTATGACTAACATAGTACCAGGGTTGGACAGGTTGAGATTTTTTACTTAAGCACCATCAAGAACATTTTTCCTCAATGCCAGGCTTCTGAAGCACTTCTCTACCTGTCCAAAAAGGATCTGAGCCTAAAGTAAAATGCTTGTGTGCATATATATTGTTTTCCTTGCTACAAAGAAATGCTTTGGTATGTATACAAATTTATTTTCTTTCCCAGAAGGTGAGCTCCTCATAGGCAGAAACCATCCTTTTAGATTTACTCAGCAAAACCTCCTGTAATCCCTGAGCCCACAAATGTTTTAGAAAGTACAAGTGACATCACAGGACTGGATGAGGCAGTGAAGCCAAAAAGAAATGAAAACTCATTATGTTGGGTTTCTGAGACATCTGAAAATCCTAAGTAGAGGAGATCAAAAGAGACACTGGAATGTCACTTGTAACTGATGTCCTCCCAGTTCAGGGTTTTGAAGGATGTGTTTTCCTCTCTTTGGCTTGAGTGTCCTTGGCAGGGGGTCTTTCCTCACCCTTCCAGAGGGGCTCCATGCTCTTCATCATCATCATCATCAGAGTCAGTTTCAGATGAGTCATCATCATCGTCATCATCATCATTTTCACTAAAGCCTTGTTGAGGTGTCAACTGTGAGGTCTTCTTCTTCTCCTGAGATAGGACAGAGTAGGCATAGAAAGGATCACACAAAGAGAAATTTAATGTGCCTATGGCCAGTTCTCTATTGCTCTAACCAATACCGGCCCCCGCTCTGCCCCACCACCTGACACCTAATCACCAGAAAGAGAATGTGGCACTACACAGAAGGGGCTTGAGAGCCCTCTTCTGCTTCTGCTTAGCTACAAACTGGGTCCCTAGTTTCTATAACCATTTTCAATTTCTCTACTTGAGGCTGGGGTATAAATTCTATCCAATTTATATTTATTGTACCTATTACCTACGAGATCCTGAGAACTCAGCATAAACTTTATCTAGACAGCTTCAACCCTAAAACCTAGGGACTTTCGAAGAAGAGGATGGCAACTCTAAATAATTATTTTGGGAGGAGCCAGGGGAAGATGAAGTGAGGAAGACAAACTTAAGAGGATCTTAATACTCACAAAGATCATAGGGAGGAAATCTAGTATTTAATTTGCAAGACTGCTCAGAGCAAGCTTCTTGAAACTATCAAAAGAAGAAAGTTCAGGGCCGGCCCGTGGCTCACTTGGGAGAGTGCGGTGCTGATAACACCAAGGCCACGAGTTCGGATCCTATATAGATAGGGATGGCTGGTTCCCTCACTGGCTGAGCATGGTGCTGACAACACCAAGCCAAGGGTTAAGATACCCTTGCCGGTCATCTTTAAAAAAAAAAAAAAAAAGAAAGTTCATAATCAACCCCATGCCCAAATTCTGACCAGCAGTTCCAGAGACTATGGACTTTCTATTTTGGTTCACTGGTATTTCTTTTCATGGGTTATCCAACCTATCCATATCTCCCTTCCCTTCCCCCATAAGTTAAATGCAACAACTATACACTCTATCTCAAGATAAGAGGCTCTTTTGTTCTTGGCATTACAACCTACCTTTCTGAGCTTCTGGCTCTCTATGTACCATCCCACCCTCTCAAGTCCATGAGAAGGGTTCTGGTGGCGCTTGGGACTTGCAGGGGCAGTTGGGACGGGGTCCATGTCTTTGCCTCTGTGGCCTGGAGCCTGTGGCATGCCCTCACTTAGGACCTGAAGGATGACCAATTGGCCCCCTTTAAAAGTAGGTTTTGAAAGCTTGGTGTCCATATGCCATATGGCTTATATTGAGATTAACAGAGGTTAGGTACCAGTTTTTAAAAATTATTTAATGTTTCTTTTATGGTAAAGCAGCTATTGGCACACAAAATTGTGACATGTTGCAGGACACCAAAAACAACATTTTCCTCTAAGAATAACAGATTTATTACACATAGGTAAAATATATTCTAACTAATCTGTAATATGTATGACATAATGACACACAGTTGCAGAATTAGTTCAGTGACTATGCCTTATTGGTATATAATTGTTAAGAACCTTCTAGAGTATTCTTTCTCAATTCAGGATTTGCCAAAATTATCCTTGGTCACATGGGAAGCAGTTTTGGCAAACGAAACTTTTTTTTTTTTTTTTTTTGTCTTTTTTCGTGTCCGGCAACGGATCGCAACCCTCAGTGTCGCGCCCGTACCGGACCGGGACTGGCAACGGGATCGCAACCCTCAGCGCTGCACCCACACCTCGCTCAGCCAGTGAGCGGGAACCGGTCTGTATGTGGGATCCGAACCCTCGGCGGGAGCACCGCTGCACTCCTAAGCGGCGCACTGTAGCAGTGCGCCACCGGGCCGGCCCCGGCAAACGAAACTTTTAAGAATATTAATTGTCAATTTAAAGATTATTCAAAAGCAGATCCTTTCTGCTGATTCTGGGTGCATACTATATTGGAAAGATAAATGAGCCTTGAACACTGACCACAGCATGAAGACTAGAGGAATTTAGGGTGGATATACAAAATTTGGAAGTCAACTTAAGAAAATTGTTCACTTTTCTTTTGCCTGCTTCTTCAGAGTTATACTTTGCAAAATCCCTGATATAAAGGCAGAGTACTTTATATATCACAGAAAAATGCCTAATAAATTAATCTTGTGTGTAAGATGTTAAAATAGCATACCAGTCATGGAGTGGGACCACCTTAAAATGTTACCCACTAGGCTTTTTATGAAATCAGTTTATATCACTACAAATATTCTTCTTCACCTGAGTTTCCAAAGCTCCTGTTCTTAAAGGACAATTAAAACGTAACCACTGGATCATGTACTAAGGCTGAATTGAATAGAAATGGCTGTTAAGCAGAGCACGCGTACAACTCTAAGGTCCTACCTGGCTAGAGATGTAGATATCTTTCCATCTTTCTTTCAGAAACAGGGTGATTCTCTAGGTTCATAGAATAACAGCAAAGAAACATTTGGGTCTTAAGACCCCCAAATTAAAACCTCTTTCACAAATTATTGGCAGCATCACAAGTGCTGACAATGAAAAAAATGCCTAGACCAATAATTCCAAACTTGCTCTATCATAAGGATTACCCAGACTGCTTGCTAAAAATATAAATTCCCAGGCTTTTACCATCAGATTCTGGGTGGTGACCAGGAATCCGTATTTTTTTTTTTTTTTTTGTCTTTTTCGTGACTGGCAAGGGGATCACAACCCTTGGTGAAGTGTCGCCCGCACGGCGCTCAGCCAGTGAGCGCACGGGCCATTCCTATATAGGATCCGAACCCGCGGCGGGAGCGTCGCTGCGCTCCCAGCGCCGCACTCTCCTGAGTGTGCCACGGGGTCGGCCCCAGGAATCTGTATTTTTAAAGATAAGTGCAAAAGTTGATTCTTATGATCAGTAAAGTTTGTGAAATACTGGCCTTCATTATATAAAATTCCTCACTAAAAAGTCAGCTGTAACAGTCGGCTTTATTTCTGAAGAAAAAGAGTCCAGATCTCAAGGCTCTTTGCTCCTGATTTTCTTCCATGAGCTCAAAGGTACCCAGCCACTGGAGATGAATGTTCAAGAAATGTTTACCATTGAACTGGTATCACCTCTAACTACTGAAGACCCAAAGCAGAAATTCTAAAAGAAGCTGTGGGTTATACTGCACCTTGTTATTTTCCTCTTCATACTCATCACTGCTGTTATCAGCCATAATCTTGTTAGGAAGACAGGCAGGATGAGGAAGTCCTTAAGAGAAAATGTTCCCTTTAAGTTATTGTTAAAATAATTTTAAAAGACAAATACTTCAGTATATTATATTATGCTGTAACCATTTTGTGGAACAGGTTTTATAAGAACATCTAGCTAAAGGATAGGAGACTGAATTCTACTCATGGCTCTGTGAATTCCATTCAAAATATATTTACTAAGCAGTATATTTACTAAACATTACGGTGCTTAAGGCATTGAGCTAAACATTATACTAATCGATTATCTGCCGTTACATAAATAATATGAACTCTGCCCTTAGTTCAGACATTGGCAAAATGAGGTTAGTAACTAGTAAAGTGAAAACAATGCTGGATTTCTCATCAAAAGACTAGGATTGAAGGGCAGTTCTATCACTTGGACAAAATGACAACCTCTCTGAATCTCAGTATTCCCACCTCTGAATGGGGTCAGTAATATTTCTCACTCAGGACTGTTGTCAGGATCAAATGAGAAAACTATGTGGAGGGAACTGACCCAGCCTGGCAAATGACAGATAGTCACAAATTTGAATCTGAATCATTATCCATCAGATAAGAGCAATAAAAATATTGTGAAAAATTAAAAAGTATAATCAGATGTATGTAACTGGCCAGCCCTGACAAGAGAGCATAGAAATGCTCAAGTCAAAAACCTGGATGGGCAGCCTTATAACACCAAGGTCACAGGTCCAGATCCCTGTATCAGCCAGCCATCAAAAAAAAAAAAAAAAAAAAATCCTGGATGGCTAGGTACATACCCAAAAGAAATAAAAGCAGGGACTCAGACAGACACTTGTACACCTTTGCTCATAGTAACACTATGCACAATAGCCAAAAGGTGGAAACAACCCAAGTGTCCACCAACAGATGGATAAACAAACTATGGTATATACACACAATGTTATAATATTCAGCCATAAAATGGAAGGAAGTCCTGACACATGCTAAAACATGCATGAACCTTAAAAACATTATGCTAAATAAGTCAGCCACAAAAGGATAAATATAATATGATTTCACTTATGAGGTACCCAGAACAAGCAAATTCACACAAAGTAGAAGAGTGGTTATCAGGGACTGGGAAGAAGCAGGAAATCAGGAGTAATTATTTAATGGGTATAGAGTTTCTGTTCGACATAAAGAAAAATTTCTAGAAATAGTGGTGATGTTTATACAACATTGTGAATGTACTTAATTAATGCCACTTACTTGTACACTTAAAAATGGTTAAAATGCAAATTTTAAGTAATGTATATTTTATCACGATAAACAAACAAAAAGAGTTTTCCTGGGTGTCATACTTGATTCCTAACTCGAGTCAAATCCAATCCATCAGCAAGTCTTAGTGACTCTACAAGAACAATATATCTTATATTTGTCTCTTCTCTCCCTTCTCAACTTCCTCAAACCATTAAAAAATAGTCCAAACCACTATCATCTTAACTAAGCCATTGCAACAGTCCCTTCAACAAGTTCTCCACCTCTACCTTTCCAACTTTCAACCCATTCCACACATAACGGCAACACAGCCTCCAAAACTCTCTTGTTATGCCTCCTGCCTCCCTCTTTGATCTGACCATATACCACTCCCCACTATCATATAGTGATCTCTCTCAGGTCCTCGAACCCAAGTTCTTACAGGACTCAGGGCTTTTCACATCTCACATGCTGTTTCCTCTTCCTGGCCTACTTTTCCTCAGTGTCTGGATCTTTCTCATCTTTCAGCCTCAAATGTCACCTCCGTAGGTCTTCCTTGACCACACTATCAAAAGTAGGTCATCCTCCTCACCATTATTCTCCATAGCAACAAACAATTTGCCTCTATCAATGTACTTATCACATCTGTAATTGTGTTTATATGTTTATTCATTTGTCACCTGTCTCCCATGATTACAAGCATCAGGATGGCAGGGACAATGTGTCTTTTGCTTAACACTGTACACCCAGTGCCAGGCATAAGGCTGGCACATACTAGGCATTCCAAAATGTTTACTGAATAAATGAATGGTATCAAGTCCTCTAAAAATATTCCATTGATATTTTGGTTGGGGTTGCAGGTTAAGGGCAGGTTATGAAGCGTCTTCAAAGCTGAGCAAAACATAGTTTTGATAAGTTAAAAACAACAATAACCAGTGAATCCCTTGTGAGCAGGGCAGTAAAATGAAGTAGATGTTGATAGGTTTGGGTTGGAAGAAGATCCTGCAATCTGGGAGTCTGTGATTTCTCCTCCCTTAACTAGTTAGAAAACAGGAACAATGGCAAGTGAAGTAACTTGACTCTGAAAGTTAACATTTGCTATTATAAAATAAGAACTTCTTGAAGACAATCAGGAATCCATCCTGCTCTCTGTTCTGAGAATGATTTCTCTTCTTTCCTCTTCATTCTTCTCTTACCTTGGTGTTTTGGGGTTGGAGTATTAATACTTGCAACCTCTTCAGCGTCGTTAATCTCTAGACGCTCATCATATGTCTGGTTTTCAACAATCTTGGTCTAAGCAAAAGGAGACATGATTACAAAGTTCATCACATGGGACATTAAGCACTGTGCCGGGAGGTGCATTCCAAACTAGCATTGGTTCCTCTTCCTTACCCAAGACACCAGTTTTACACAAAACCTTCGCCCCCATCCAAACTTTCCTTAAAGTTTTTTGGGCCCGGGTCAAGCAGTTAAGTCATTCTGCTGCAGCCCTTTTTTTAGGAACTGCTGGCAGTCTGGCTTAGGAACGAGGGAATCGTGGAGGGAAACGACAGCCCTTTTGCAGCGGCTCCCCAAAGCTGTAAGATAAAAGCGCCAGGGCAGAACAGTATTCGTATGTAGACCGCGACTCTCTCCTCAGGTTCGGTCAGTTTTCCCAAGGCTGTTGGGGTTTCTCAGGGGAGGCTGTAAAGGTTCTGGAAAGAGTTCTGTTTCTGGGCTCACTTCTGGCGGGGGAGGGAGGGTACGGGATGTCCCGAAGAGAGAGTAAACTCCAGTCCCTCGGTCCCATCCAATAATCCCGAAAGCATCACCCCCATCTCCACCCCCGTTTTGCAGATCGGATCCCACTTAAGTTTCTTGGGCAGTGAATTAGGCAGGATGGTTGGCGGTGTGGTGGGGGAAGGGGCGAAGGAACAGTTGTCGCGGGGATGGGAAGTAGCGGGGAGGAGGGGAAGGGGAGTCCCCTTAAATTCCTCTTGGGAGGGAGCAAGGCAGTTCCTTTCTGCTGGGTTGAGTATGAATTACCTGTAGCCCCTCTGAATCCGTCTCCTCTAAATGGGAAGAACCCCAGCCTAGGGCTGGGGTCTCACTCCAATCTCAGGCCAGTCCACTTAACGGACTCTACTTTGAGCAAACAGCTTGTTGTCAGTCGCTAGGCGAAAAAAAAAATCGCGACACTTGCTTTCACTCTCGCGAGACCGTCTCCAGTCACCCGCACTTTACGCCTCTTCCAGGGAAGAATCTCTATGCGCAGGAAGGAGATCGAGGGGGTGGGGTGGGGGGG